CAACATACTTGATGAAGGTGGCCATTAGCAGGGAGGGCCCCATAAAAATGTTTTCTGAATTTGGTTGGTCGCGCAAAATCCACACTTTGTAAAAAAATTCACATCAAATACTCCTGATGTTAATCAGAGCGTTCCACCTCGTGTTGCTGCCATAATAAATATTCTGAACATCTCCTGCAGCTCCTCTTGAGCTTCCCTTACAGTAATCCCTTCTCAGAAATCCCGCCTTGCCACACTTTGGCTACATGGTCTTCCACAAACAGGTGACCAGTGCAGCTGGTCCTGCGGCACCCCTACTGTGCGGCAACAATGAGCTATTGTCACTTTAGATGACGGATATCCAAAACCACACGCTACAACTACTCTCCTTCTTGATCCACGTTTGTGCACAGTCCTGTTTCGATAAGATGGATTGATTAAGACAATTGAACGGCACTTCATAATTTTTGAATTGCCTGTTCGTGGCATGTGAAGTCGTGTAGCCTTCATTTTTTTTAGAAGTCTCTTCCTAGTTTCTTGTAGTTTAGTGCAGCTCATAAATCAAGGAAAATTTTGGTTTGCAGATCTTGTTAGTGTGCAAGTTGTTTGAGGAGATTTGAAGAAATGCAGAGATGTATGACATTTGCTTAGTCTGACTCAATCCTGGCGAGGTGGTGTTCAGAGTCAGATTTTTTGGCCGTAAGTGAATCATACCGGAGCTTCCCGTTGGACGACCATAACTTAGCTAGGACCACATAATTCGTGTATATAAGAACTTTAACGAGTCGATTTGCTTGGATACTCTTTGAATTTGAAAATTTTGAAGTTTTCTCAAAAACCTTTCATTCAAGTCAATCTAGACCCTTTTTTACTCGATGAGGAGTCCCGGAGTCTAGTAATCACCACAATTTTTTCCTTTATATTTTGTTGTTGTCAGAAAGATTTTTGTTTCACCTCTGACTTACAGCCAGTGTTGTACCTCAAGACTTCTATGCCTGCTATCGTTCAACTTAAAGTTGTTCCGAGAGAGAGCCATTTATTAAAAAAAGGTCGGCAACGACATGGCACAGTAGGAGTGCAACAGGTGCCGACGAGCATCTGCTTCTTAAATAAACTCATAATTCACATAAACATCTGTTGAGCGCTTTCGGCATCCATATCATAGGCATTCTTTTCAGTCTTTTGTGAAAAATGTTTAATGACTGCTGCTTTTCGAGTTCTCTTCAACTATAAAGCAAACTTATTATATTGTACGACTCGAGCTAATCACTCATTGGCGGTTACAGTAATCCTTCTCAACAATCATGTAATCGGCCATCTGTTGCCGTTAAAGGCAGCGTCCGGGCAAGATCCATCCACCCGGGTTAGCACATAGTTGTAAAGAGGGGCCCATGAGTATCCGATCTGAGTTGGTCCGAGTCTTTGAAGTGGCCTCTAAAAGGAGATACGGGCCTGTGATACGTATCACAAACTGTGCCTTCGTATCACAAACCACCGCTGAGGACGAGTGCTCACGCAGGTGTGCGGTTGCATTGCAGTTGTACTGCACACTGCAATGCAACGGCATCCGTGCAGTTGCAGCTCCTCCCGCTGGCAAGCGATGGGGACGAGCAATCCGAAACTCGTCCGCTTCTTGAAGAGAGGGTCCCCAAGAATCGGGTTTTTTGGGGGGTGTTAAACAATTTGGACTTCACAACTGTATTCAGGGCCACGGGAAGGCCCCAGAATGGCAGAAACATGAGAGGCGACATTTTGCCCGGACGCTGCCTTTAAGAGAAAATAGTCTGAAGTTGCATAGAGTACTAGTAACATTCGCAGCTATGTTTTTTTACTTGCTTTCAACATTTATGCCTGTACCGAAAGTATATAGTCTCTTTAGTTCTCCAACTTTTTTTGAAGTGAAAGGAATTTTGGTGGGTCATGATCCGAAAACGAAACTGACCCTAAAATATCACCCTTTCCACAGCAGATAAATTTTCGTAAGCATAAAAAAGCTTTGTCGAGTAGAATAAAAAACGGTAAAGTACATGTATAAACGCTGTCAGAGTATTCTTTAGGATGTGAGTAATCTCACAATCAGACTATTCACCGGAACTCCCACAGGACAAGCAAAACTTGCGGTTCCGCAGAATTTTGTTTACTATCGCAAAAGTGGCACGTTAAGAACAGGGCCCGGCACGAGGTGGGCAAATGGGGTTTTCCAACGAATTCCCCTTTGATCCCAAAATTTTTTACGAATATCCCTTTGAGCCCAAAAACGATGCTTTATGCTTGTGCAACGAGAGCACCGGCCACAATTCTCCTAGAAGCGCTCAAAAGCGTCCAAAAACGCTCAAATACTTCTAATTATTCCTCACCTTTATCAAAATAGCAAACAGGAAGAAGAATAAGCAAGAAAAATGATGAGGGAATGAAGAAATATCAAAATAACGCAGTTATATTACTGACAATGAGAGGTGCCGTTCTCGCATATCGATTGACTGGAGCGCGCTACCCTCCTTAGAAAGCTGGGCTGCTGATGCGATTTTGGGCTCTAACAAAGACAAGAGGAGGAGTTTCGGATCCAAAATCCTACCATGTACTAAACTCTGGGTGTACAACATATTTATGTGAAAATTTTGAAAAACCTATGTGAATTGAAAGTTTTGCCTACCTCAGGTGGGCATTAGGTGGGCAATTGCCCACCTAATTTGGAAAATAGTTGGGCACGCTCTTCATTCACATAAGTTTTTCATAATTTTTCATACATTGTTCCTTAGTCCTAATGCGCGTATACACACCAAGTCTCGCGCGATTTCGTTTTCTCTGCGCTGCAAACGAGCCATTTTTCCATTCTCTTGATAGTGGGAAAATTTCAGGAAAAGAGCTTGCCACAACCTTCAGTCAGCCCTGCAGGCCCGTGTTCATGTACCTACCAAGTTTCACACCGTATGCGGTAATTTGTGCGCTGCAAACGAGCTATTTGAATTCACATCTTCATTTACCAGTTTTGCAAAATTTTTAGAAATGCTTACTACACCGCCCGTTCACATAAGTTTTTCATAATATTTCATACTTTGTTTCTGTTTTTCAAAAATTTGTGCTATATCGTTATCTGCATTGAGAACTGATCATGTAATCATGCTGTTCAACGGCATCGCTTATGTGATGTCGCGCACGCGGCAATTAGCGGGGCGCGGCGTAGCGCGCGCGAACTCTACTGTGCGTAGAGGCCTATGAAAACTACTTCCCAACATGTACAAGGTAATAAGCATGATTCGATTTTCTTTTGCTTGCACTTGGAATCTTCTTCCGGGGCTCCGCCCCGGACCCCGCAAAAACAATTCCCCCCTTGCTTTTTGTCATTTGCCCACCTCGTGCCGGGCCCTGGTTAAGAACGGGAACTTCCGCTGGACTTTTTACAAGGTACTGCGGAGCTTCCGAAGAATACCTGCGGTTCCGCAACACTTTGACATGCCAGTACTTCTGCAGGGTTCTAAATGTGATGTTCGTATGGTATGATGTTGCACCGCCAACAACTAGAGTTATCGAACATGTTAGCCGTAGTGCAGAGGATGGTAGATAATCCCACAGCCAATAGAGTAAGGTTCAAATCTTGCCTAGATGTTCTGTTTTGCTGTTGTGGTTCGCATTCTTCCGAACTTCCACAGCACTTCATTTAGGTACTTCCGCGGCACGTTTCGGAACTTCCGCAGGTAACCCGACGAAACTTCCCCAAATGTTCTGCGGAAGTTCCGTTCAGTTGTCTGAGATGCTAAACTGTATAATTGTGGAAACTTGGACAAAATAATAACTGATAATAAACATAAGACGAAATCGTTGAGTAGTAAGTCTGCTCTTCTTGATGGCTCATAAGATCCAGTCAGCCTTAGCACTACACAGCAATAACTAACAACTGCACAAATCCTTTCGCTGTTCAATACCAAATCATTTGTAGCAGAACTTTCAGCATACCTCTGATTACGTTAATGGATGTGTGTTCGAGTGTGTTACTTCTCATAGGCATATACCTCAACTCGCAAGAAGATGTAAGGCAATTGTGGCCTCGTTCTAACTTTCCAACACTTTGATGTACGGCTATAAACGCGTCTTTGCTCTTTTACGATAGCAACTGTCCACGGTTACGAGGACAAACAGGGTTACATTGACTAAGCAGGCAGATCCTTTGGTGGGTGCTGTAGTAAAAGCGAAGTTTCTTAACCTTGTAATTTATTTCAGCTAAAAAAATAAGATTTTCTTTTTCGGTCTCTTCATCTTCCCACACTTTTTTTTTGTATCTAACGTAAACACCCGTCTTCTGGGCTTATTGTTCAATTAGTCGTGCAATGCGAGTGCAAATAGCTAAACAATTTGATAATCACGGTGAGAACACAAGGACAACTCGTACGCGCCTTTGTATTTCCTTCGTTCACTTAAGTAGAATTTCTTCCGATTCTTATTTGAGCACCTCAATTTCGATCATTAGGAGAAATGAAAAAAATAGAACTTTACCTCAACACCATTTTACATTAAAAATTATCAGTGCAGTCGCACGAAAGCCATTTTCGATGCCCTTAGCCCGAAAAAGTCATATAGTCATACGTAATGCAAAAAGTGCACCAGCAAACTGGTCTTCTGGAATATTCAGCAATTTTTTGCTACTACCGGATTCGCACTCTCTATTCGATTTCCTCGCTTTTCCACGGATTTAGTGTTTTCGGCGATATTAGTCGGGACTGTGAGCATTTTGATGCAATGATTTTTCATAAACTAGCTTTAAGGAGCTTGTACTTTTACGATATTCGGTGAAATAGTTTGACTGCCCCAATAAGCCAAAGCCAATCAAATAATCGCAATACTGCGTACCTTTTTTCTCTGAAGCATTTTACGAGCTTTCTCCGCCCTTCCTTTATTTCTCTTCATAAATTATTATCACTAAGCGTTTTCCCTTGTATCTGTGGCACAGATGTCTTGTCGAGGTCCTGTAATCGCTTATCGTGTCGTCATTTATTCCTTGCGATCGTTATTTGAATTATTGAAAGATGTTACCACTATTGGCTCTTCTGCCCGTCGTCTTGGCCGAATCATTCTGGATGACAGCCGAGCTGCTACGGGTAGATTGGAAAGAGGGATGTCTGAATACTGGTGGTTGTTCTCAACCCAGATTCAAGGTAGAGCTGCAGTTACTTCGATTACATTTGCACTTGTACTATGAAAATTGAATATGAACAACATAGAATTCAAGAAGGCAATTACAGATACTTGAGGATATGCTCCCACTCAATGAAAAGGTTTCCATCAGCTGGCCAGTATCGGAGCATTTCGTGCAGGTAAAACTACAATATTGACAGCTTCACCCCCGTAACTTTCTTACTCTTCCTCTCTCCCTCCTGCAGCTAAAAATGGGTCCTAAAATGCTTTAAAAATTATCTATAGGCAAATACGAATATCTTGCATGATAATTTATTCCAGAGAATATGATAATGATTTTTGTTCCGCTGCCTTATTGAGTAAATTTGCTTTCCCAAAAAAAACATTATGATCTTTTTCTTTCACTTTTGTGATAGCCTTATACCTCCAAACTAATCACTTGAGGATGCTGCACGCTCTTTTGTTTCTCACTGGTCAAAAGGAAGACCAGAAGATCTGACTCTCTCCTGCCAAGTGGTCGGCACTGATCCAACCTATGGCTTTCCCAGAATCTGTGATCAGACTGCGTCAATCCGCGTTTTACGAGAAGGAGATGCTGAAGCATTCGTGAGTCATCAAAATTTCGCGTACTCCTCCTGCAATGCTTTAACAATTATAGGAATCTAATCGACGTCATCATCAGCCTTTGGTGACCACAGCGCTGCCCGAAGAGGAACTGGGCAAGAAGGTAGTTGAAATTCGAGCCAAGTGCTTCAATGTCACCGTAGCGGTGCAGAAGCACACAGAGAGATGTCCGTGGTGCCCTGATCCGTCAGACGTGACTCTTATTGAACAGAGGGTTGGTTCGAAATGCAGCGGTCGTTTTATAACAACCAGAATGGCAACTATAAAGCCTTTTAGGTACCAGTAGATGCTTCGCCAGCTCTTATAACCTCGATTTTTCCGCAGTTGTCTGGTGAAGATAAGATCTTGCACGCATCAGTGCTAGTACTGGCAGTGATCACTGTTTTGACGACGTTAGGCTTCGCCTGCGTATTAATTGCTTTTCTCCGGCAAAAAAGGTTTGTATCGAAGCTGTTGGGTATCCCATGAGTCTTGTACCAACTATCTGAGAGTTTATAATTCAATCCACCTTCAGCAAAAGTTTCGTTCCATGCATCTCGAATTAAGGATGTCATGTGCTTTCTAGTTGTAAAAAGAATTTGCAAAAACGTTTTAGGCCACTGATTTATACAAGCAGATGAAAAACAGACAGAATTTTGAAAGCAGGCTGCAAAATTTTTCAGAAAAGTCCCGATGCTTGAAAAAAATTGTCTAGTTCAAATCATCTTGCAGTGATTTAATCACGTATTTCAATTTTCTACTTTACTCACAGAGATTTCGCAGTTTCAGAGTCAATTACGAAACAAAATTATCAAAAAGTATGCATAGTGTAAGTGGAACATTATCTGAACTACAGGGTGCGGAAAAAGTACTGTCCCTCAAAATGAGGTTTAAAAAATCGACGTAATTCATAGGTTTTTCTGGTAAATTTGACATAATTTCCAAGATAAGAATATATTCTAGCATTTTACAAGAAAAGGCTTCAAAATTCTACAGTTTCACCCGGTTGCGGACTCCTTTTCGTAGCGCATCTCATATAAAATTTTGCAACTCCCCTTTACAAATGTGAAGAATTGAGGATTTTTGAGAATTTTTTTTGTTTGTCATGCGAACTTGAGAAATCCTCTTCTAATTATGGGTGGTAGTGGATCGCGAAATATTCTGAAAGTAGCCAGTCAGCAGCTGCACCAGGAGGAAAGCTGTGAATTTTTTTTCAACGAGAAAGTGGCTGCGCAGCAACAGAGTGCGATCAGAAAACGTGGCACAGAGACTGGGTATAATCCTTTATCTCTCCAAAATCGTGATGTAGACAAAGTCCGATGCTCTTTTCATTATTCCTGTTACTTTTTGTTGGAATCTGGAATTTCGAACCATAGTTGGGATCCAATTGATTAAGCAAGCGCAGTCCTGACTCGCCTCTTTTCTAGAATTTTTGCGATTTACTACGATTTAACCTTCCTTATTTGGCCAAAACAAGAGTCACCAATCTATAATTTATCTAAAATGCTATAGAATAATGGAGAAAAAGTCATGCGCTACATACCAGCTAAATTTGAACCTTATATCATTGCTGGTGGTATAGTTACGGTCCAAAATCGCGCTTGTATGCTATCGGCGCATCGTTCATGTTCTTGGGCGCCGTTATCACTCGTTCAAATGCACAGAAAGGAACAGTGCCAAATCAAACTTATCTTTATCTAATCTCAAGGATCTCACGTGTGGGAATCAAAAAAACTACAGATTTGTTTTATGTTTGAGGTATTTCAGGAGCCAAGCTGGAGTAACAGTACTTTTTCCGCACCCTATATAATAATGACATTGATGCAAGAGTTGTGAGACTAATTCTGTTGCTGGAGAATATAAAATTGTTTAGAAATCACCGTCAGATTTCTGTGAAACCTCGCTACCAGCCATGTTCTCCAACTGTCTGCAAAATGAAGGAAGAAAATAAGTGAGTACATGTTAAAAATATTTTCAATTCGTTTTTGAAATCAGTCTATAGAAGTCGCAAGAATGTGTTTGTCCCTCCAGCATAACTTTAGTTCCCATCGAGCAAAAGGCATCGGCAGATTGGCGATTTCAAAATATTTACCGTTCTCGGTTTCCCTGAATGAGATAAGTCCAAAACTGTTCATTGCAGCTTCGAAAGATAACAATGACTGCTTTTCCGGACGTAAAATGTGTTGTTTAGCCGAAAGGCGAAAGCCCACCCTTCAAAGAGCGATTGGCTCGTGGAGTGCGGATGAGCAGGACACCGTACCCATCTCGGTGGTAATTGGTTTATTGGCTCCAGCAGCCAATCGTTCTACAAAGGGGCGGGATTTCGCTGCCCGCCCAAACAGCACTTTCCACGTCCGGAAAAGCGAGTTGTTAATATCTCCAATAGCTGCAAAGGCAGTTCCAGATTCAGATCTCCAGGGGGAGTCAAAAACGACAAATACCTATCCATGAAATATCCAAAATCTGTCATTCTGCCGAGCTACTGCCTTTAAATCCTCTTGTCTAATTCATTCTGATATTTCCAGATACGACACACCATGGGAACATTCTCGCCAACTTACCTACTGGCTGACTTCTTCTTCAAAATCCGAAGCAACGACGACATCACCGTTGGCATCTGCTTCTTCTCTCGGCAATTCTTCGTTCGGCACTTCACATGGCTTTCGAGCCGGATGTGCGATACCTCAGACACAACTTCACACCTCCACTCTTCGAATGCCTCAATAGGAAAAAACATATAGACTAAAATTTCTTTGCGTGTCTACTTGTGGTGTATATGGTCACTAGCAGGTAAATGGCTCGTTGTACGCTTTCGGATAGAAGAATCTTAGCATTATTTTTCAGGTCCACATGGACTAACAAATAGCCGCTAGCGATTAACACCATAAGCATTTTGGTAAAGCCAACTTAATGCTTCTTCGAAGGTTGTGCCAGAGCAGGTTGAGCACATGAACGGCAAACCACAGTGGTCAAAGCGGAAGAGTTCTTTGGTGAGATCTTTTTCGTTTACCCGTTTTTTGTAACCAGTGCAACAAATATGAAAAAATTCATAGTGCTTTGAGTTGCATCTGTCAGCTATGATTTAGGGTTGGTACGAAAACTGCGAATTCTTACGCCACAAAGCAAGAGAACAGAACGACCAATTGTGAGTAACTTGCTATAAACAACAAGTAAATGTTCTCTTAAGAACGAGATTGTTTCTACCATTTAAAATCCTCTTTGCTGCAATAATCTAACAAGGGAAGGATACTTGGTAACCGTGGCCTTTTGAAACAAAACTACACCATTAATTACACCTTGAAAAGCTGATACCAAATCCGCATCCCGTATCTGCTGCGCGCTCTCTTCCGAAAGAAGTTACAAACATTTTTTTCCTCCGAAATTTGCACTTTTTGATGACAGGATTCACCAATATTCTCACCAATATTCAAAATGTTTACTTAGCACTATAAAAAAGCGTCAAAATAAAATAAAGCTTTACCTTAAGCTTAGGAAAACTGTCTCCGATTTATCAGCGTGTGAAAAGCTTGGATACTGACGATTCTGACTGTCTGAATCTCTTGAAATATCATGGAAAGAGTCCATTACTTCATTTAAAGAGTCGTAAAGCAGATATTGAACATCGATTTCGAATCAGCGTTTCAAGGCGCATCTATTGGTAAACATTTTAATGGAAAAGGCCACAGTCAGCAAGTATCCTCCCTTGTAAGCTTAACATGAGACTTCTTTGCTTCACAGAATTCAGAAAATGAATAAGATTAACAATCTGTCGAAGATAAATTGATTGATAACTAAACGTTTTTTTAGGAAGGAGGATCTCTGTGAAAATGTGAAATCACGCGTTTTGCAGCACCTTTTCCATATGGAATTAATGGATTGGAGCCGTGTCCCTCGTGCCCAACAGTTTATAAAAATTGCTCTGCCGTTAACTTCGCCAAAACATTCGTACTACATTTTTTGTGCCTGCCAAATATTTTCGGTCATTATTGTCTTTCGGTTATGTATACGCTCTATGGTATTTGCTAGTGAATACGCTGTCATCTGTATCCGAGCTTTTCTACCAGGAGCATTTGTACATGCTTGGATTTATTTTTCTCCGATTGTGTATGAGCTCAACCAATGAATATCATCCACTTGCCAATATTTTCAAATCATCTCGTTCACTCGGGTAATCATAAGGGTGGTAGGATCGTGTATTGTTTTCTGTTGTCAGATATAATTATGCACATCATGAGTCACTGGAGATATCGAATGTGTATTTTACATGAAAACGGGTTGATGTGAAATCTTCACTCATATAAATTTTTTCAGCTTTCAAGTATAAATTACAGTCATCATTGCAAAAAAACCAGGCATTATGCGCTTCTTAAGACGTCAGTCATCCTTACGTTGGCGTATTAGGGTGATCGATAAAAAATGGGGCACCTAGAGAATAAGTATAGATTTCTCAAAAAAGAAAAATGGTTAAACTTTCCAATTTTAATAGATGTTAGAATAAATTATTCTCTTTCAAAAAATAATATTTATATAAGGTCATTTACGTACCTAAAAATTTTTATAGTGTCTGAAATGCAAAGTTAGTCACTTTGACAAATTAAACTTCGGGCAGTATCTGCGCAGTGAAACATGCGAAACCATCCAAAGTAGTACTGCTGCAATGCGTAAAGGTACAGTCACCAGACCCACGATGGGTTGCTGGTGTAAACTTTCAAATTCAGGAGATATGGCCATTAGCAGCTTTGAGAACAAAGATACGTGCTATTCAATGCTTTGCAGGTGAACGCATGTTTTATAGGTGCCTTCTGAAAGAGCTTTTTACGCTCTATCCATCCATATGCAGCTCACCTAACATTTTATCTATCTTCGAAGAATACAGATTAAAACTTAGTTTATTGATTTTTGTTGCGCCAAAAAAATCGCGGTTTTTCAGGCATTTCGCTTTTTTTTACCCAGAAATAAAAAGAAACCCTGTATGTTTAATATAGTATTTGAAAGAACATGAAGAGCTCTTTCGAGTGGTATATCAATTGCTCTATAACTTTAAGGTATGGCAGCGCAAGAATGAGTGATGTTCAAGAAACCCTGTTCGAGTTCTTTAGGGCGTCACACATAGGGTTGTGGGAGAGGAGCGTTGACGCTTTGCCAGAATAATAGGCGAAGGTCGCTTATATAAGCGACGTTTACGTTGCAGCCTGCTTGTTGTTGATCGAAAAAACCTCAAAATTTAATAAAAATCAAGCTGCCCCATTTTTTACCGATCACCCTAATATTACACAAGAACGGTCTGAAGTGAGGAAGTAATTTCAGTCTCGATTTGTAACTCTACATTCTCATACAGAGGCAAATTCAAGCTTTTTTATCTAATACATAATCCACAACGGTTTGCTTGCGAATCCTCACTTTGCTTCGTTCGAATTTCTGTGAAATATTTTGAATTTATTGATTCTGATATAGAAGCTGAATGGAGCATTACTTCACAACGAACAAAAAAGAAAAAGAATAGTTAGATGTTTATTTGGACGTGAGTCGCTCTTCTACTTACATGAAGTCCTCTTTTAGCAATCATGACTTATAATAACGAGCTAAGAGTGTTCGTGTGTTTTTGTGTGTCTGTCTGTCTGTCTGTCTGTCTGTCTGTAACGAAATTCACAGAACGAGTCGCAGACAATGTTTCAAGCCGCAACTTTTTGCACAAAACGCACACCCACCGCTCAGATTCACCATGTCAAAGCACGAGCAGATCCGTTGAGTAGGTCCCTCAAAAATCGCACCCCAAACGGATCCACTCAACGTCTGGCGCGCAATGAGTCCGTATTACCACTTATTGCAAAGTCGTGATTATGTTTGGCAAATGAATGTGCAAGCCATGATCTTTAGCCCAAAAATAGTGATAGAAGTCTACTACTCCACGAAAACGGCGCCAAAACGAATTATTTGCGTAAATGGTCAGTTTGCCAGGTTTTTACCTGGGCCCGTAGTAATCTACCCTACCAGGTGGCAGAAAGATGCCGGCAAGTTCGCGAACCTCGCGGCATGTTCGTATTTCGGGCGCCAGCTAAATCTTGCTTCAGATTCCAGTATTTAATTTGTTTTTCTCTTTCGCACATGAAATTTTGATGCCGCTGATATCCGCAAAACAGCGACATCGCGCGGGTCCGAACCTGCTTGCGTCAACCTTAGGCGCCGCCGCACTAACCATTCGACCACTCACTCAATTTCTGTTGTCTGCAGCAGCAATTATAGAAACGCTGCCTACGTAGTGAGCGCCTGTATGTGAGCATGATCAATACAATGCGCGATGGACGTTGACCTGAAAAAACAGCTGATTGATAAGAGCGAACGAGAGACGAAACCGTTGCAAATGAGATTTGAAGCAATTGCAAAATGTTATTTATGGTATTATAATATCAGCAATCGTTTCTTATGCTTAAATATCATCACTTTGGGGGAGAAGAACTCATATGATGGCAAAAATGATAGTTTTTCGATGGAAAATAAATTTTTTGGTTTTTTTGCTGGACGTAAATTGCGTGATATTGCAGCGCGACGCATTTTCACAGACGCTGTCGGCAAAGATGCCGGCATCTGGACATGGTAGGGGCACGTCCACATGCCGGCAGGTTGCACTCCACCAAAAACATACTATTTCGTGCACTCTCTGGCCCTGCCGGCAGGCTGCGATCTGGATGGCATCTCAAATTTCGACAAAAGGAGATCGTGAACCTGCCGGCAGGTTCACAATTCGGGCTAAATAAATGGCAAATGAGGACATTTTTGGATTTCCTTTCAATTCCCATAGTATTTCGGCAGCAAAACTGGACCGTAACACAGAAAAAATAGATGATCAGCCTAGCTGGGGGTCCCCGGTGGCAGTTTGAGATTTTAGGGACCTCAAGTCCACATCAGGGCGACCTCAGGGCATGAGATGCCGGCAGGTAGGGTGGATTACTACGGGCCCTGAGCATTTGAGAAGATTTTTGCACAGAGATGTAGCTCACCGTGGATATTATCCTTATGGCGACTACCAAGCCATGAAATAATTTAAAAGTGTTCTAATTCTGCATTTGTTCTTCATCTTCCAAAGTTTCATCACGCAAAATACCGATCTCACATGGAAAAGCTTTCGGAATGAGTAGTTGTTTACAATTCATTCGTGAAGGCGGGCATTACGCGGTATGTTTCAATGCTATGTTAAGCGGGAATGAGTTTATGGCATATAGATAGAAGAGCCAGTGCGAGCCTCTGCGAAGCAGAGGTGACGCACTGGTATTACATAAACGCATACAATAGATTCATGATTATACTTACCAGATGTATTAGATCTGCATCTATGAAAGAATATCACTAGGTTTACAAAAATGGAAGGCTGAAGGCTTACTTAGACTGAGACGTACTTCTTAAGGCCGATGTAAAAACTGCTAAATAAATTTTGTTTGATCTGTACCAGCAACTCAAGGTACATAGCGCCAGTGCAGTCACAATGCTCGCTTTTTTCTCATTGTGGTGGTCAAGTACCTAAATGTTCACTTTAAGACGAAATGAGCAGTTCTTAGAGCCCAGAATTGCTCACTTCATTAGGACAATTCCTTGCAGAATATCTCCAATACGAGACACACGAACATTGCATATCTCTTCCAAAAAGCAAAAAAGGCAAATTTAGTTCTTGCATAGTTAAGCATAAGATTTTGAATATAGTCTACTTTCAGTATGTCTTCTAGCAGCTGAAGCGTTCATTGTTGACTTTCTGTGCTGAATAAGCGCTCCTCTCACACTATCCTGCCTATCTTACAAGGGAATGGTCAGAAGTCGAAGTGGCCAAACCAAAGAAGCTGTATATCATTCGATGCAGTATAAAACGCTGACTTCGAATCTGTCTTTTTTATCTGCTTCCCGCTTCTGTGGACGAAGCTACAAGCGGTTTTATTGTGAAAAAATCATACATAAAAACAGCGAAATTGAGCACATTGTTGCACTTTTAGCTCAGCTTTTGGCTTCAAAAATTCTAAGTAAGCTAGCTGCATGTTTTGGCCCAGCATTGAGGCGAACGGCTCTGTACGGCTAAATTTTCAATTTCACGCATAATTTCTTAGCAAAATAATGGTCTTCAATGGCTTATAGCTTCGTCCAGAAAAGCGATAAGCAGGTAAGGAAGACAGATTTAGCGTCAGCGCTTCATGCTGCATCTAACGGTACGCAGCTTGCCTGGAATGGCCACTTCGATTTCTGACCATTCCCTTGTTACTTAGGTGTCTATATGGAACTCTCTTTATTTACAGTCGGATGATATCGCAGAATGCTGATAACAAAAAGTATAAAAACACTTCCATTTCACTAGTCACTTCACTTTATTACTCAACGCCTACCAACAGCTTGTGTTAGCAGAGTCGGGAGCGCAAGGACAGATGGCTCAGGAGATCATCCAACTTCAACCAGGAATGCAAGTGGGCTGCATTACTTCGCATGATGCCTTACTGACATAGAGGACTGCTCTTCCTCAGATTGAGCGATGGACGATAGAGAAGAAGCTCGGAGAAGGTGGATTTGGTGCAGTTTATCGTTGCCGCGATATGACTGGACAGTATGCTCTCAAAGTAGAAGGCGTTGCAGAGCAAATTCAGGTGCTTGTCTATAGCTCAGTTGAAAGGTATCGAGACCATTGGAAGCCAGAAGTAGCAGCGCAGTTTTCTTGAGTTGCGTTAGCAGTTTTGCTGGTCTAAAAATCCCGCCAGGCAACCTCTAGAAACTCAATGGCGAAGATAGTAGATGAGCGTAGGCCTATAAAGGCTACTCCTAGGTGTTGAAAATGGAAGTCTATGTGCTGACTGAGTTAACGAAACGTGGATCAAGACACTTCGCCAGAATCGAAGACAAAGGAAGATACGGGAATTTCAACTATGTTAGAAGAGTATCAATACAAAGTTTCATTCCAATTGCGACTTCCTAGATCGTCATGACACTCGTCGGTAAATCACTGCAAGACTTGAATAAAGGTGGACCAGGTGGTCACATGACTACTGGATGTGCAATATCAGTTGGTATTCAGTGCCTGGAAGCACTTGAAGGTAAAACTTTGATGCGATAGCGTACACGATGATTGAAGACGATGTATGCCAGATCTGCATAACATTGGCTACTTACACCGTGATGTAAAGCCGGGTAACTATACAATAGGAAGACCTGAATTACGAGAACTGCGAAAAATTTATCTACTAGATTTTGGAATGTGTAGGAAATTCACCAATGACCAGGTTGCTTTAATGAACCGCTTTTTGCCAGCAGTTATATGCTTGAATCCTTAGGGCATCATTCGCAAGCCTCGTCAGGCAGCGGGTTTTCGAGGAACGGTACGTTATGCTCCCATATCATGCCATCTCCAGAGGGAGCTGTGCAGGTTAGTAAAGTTCTAGAGCACGCCATTGGTTCGTAAAGTCTGATGAAAAAATGCTGTTTGTAAAACAAAAACTAAAACTTTCAGGAAAGATGACTGCGAAACATGGGTGTACATGCTTGTGGAATTGACGCATGGCCGCCTTCCGTGGAAGGAAGTTCAGGATATGAACCAGGTTTGGCACCTACTCCTTGGCCGCATAACATACGTTCAACATAAGTTATAGGTTGGAGAGTATAAAAAGCGTGTACGGCAGCCGATGTATATCATGGAATTGTTCCCGCACCCCTGTCCACGTGAATACATACAGATATTGCAATACATTGATAGCTTAAAGTACTATGATGCACCAAATTATCAAATGATCTACCAGGTAATCATTTGTTTCAGCAATCATTTATAGCATCGTTTCTTCAATTTGCAGTTAATGCGACAAGGACTCGCGTCAAGTCGTTTGCAGGAATTCCCGTACGATTGGGAAATGGGCGGACCAACGGCATACATGCTCCAGTAAAACGCTCGCATTTCCCATAGCATCGTAAATAAAGTTTTTCATCAGGCAGAATATCAATAAGGCTTGAAGCCCGATTGTTTATGAATCTTGACATAGTTTTGTAACTTGTAACTTCTTCTGTAACCTAAACCAAGACTTTAGTACACTTCGTTAGTTAAGCTAATGAGTTGTAAAGACTGGTAATTACTAACAGTGCACACGCGCTTACTGGCGCTTACTAAACTCTATCTAAAGGCTGCCGAGGCTCCGACAAAGGTGACGGTACAGTAACGTTAGCCTAATTGGTGAAGTGTTCTAACAGTTCTGATTTCGGCTAAGAAGACATCTACTAGTTAGTTAGTTCGCTACCTGCATTATGTAGTGTATGCCAAGACTAGATCATGAGCTATGCGAATTTCAGAATGCGCTCAATTTTTTCACTGGATGTTCGTATCCGTGGCATCCGTAAAATCTCCCGGCTTCTCCTCGTCTTTCTTCCACATGCCTGTTGAGGTCTGCTCCTGACAGGAGCATGATCTCTCTTCCCCTCCTACATTATCCAGTAGTGAAAATGAACTGATAAGGTCATCAAGCTCCTGTCAAAACGCGTCCTTTTCATAATGCTTACATCATTGTCATGAGGAAATATGCTCAAAGGTTTGAGCGTTTCTCCTCAAGACGATGTGCCAGACTACTTCCTTTGCTGCGAAAAAGGAATAGTATTTGGTATCAAGACAGATATCATATGAGCATAGAAGCAAAAAATGATAATTTGCTGCTGCAAAAACGGTAAATTATACGAGATACAATGACAAAAACAAGGCCCGCGGTGTGTGACTGTACTACGCGGCGCTGGCTCCGTTAGACGCATTGTAGATAGGCATTGGTGTGCATTTTGACTTTGAAAAGAAAAACGAAAATTTTGTTTTTTTATAACTAGCTAGTTTTCTTTGTTTAACTTTTTTCTGGCTATCACCACTTCCAAACCTTGAATGCCCTTGAAACACTGCAAAAACAGTTTTCTCCGCTTTCACCAAACTGTGAACTTGCTGGTGCTGAAGCGAAAACCTGCAATTCAAGCTAACGCCAGAAGATAGACATCACATCAAACGTATCACAGCCTTTTTACAAGGATTCCAACGTACCTAGAGGTGGTGAGCCTGTAACTATCAGGCTGTCCCAATTTTTTCTCAAGTCGCTCAATCTGGAGCTGTGCAGAAATTGTCAGTTACGAAATTACACTGCGAAATGATGATCTCGGATAGTGAGGGTGGCTCATTTTCAACTAAGGGTCGCTCACTTCATGCAGCTCTGAAATAATGTGAGAAACACACGATTAAAACCTAAGTTCATTCTAACACTTTCCTTGATGCTCAGTGCGCGCCTCTGCAAAGCCGAGGTGAAGCACTGGTTCAAACGATGAGGGTGGTGGTTGGCGTGAGACATCAACTCTTCAACTAAGAAATGATGCTGGTCCAAAAGGGGATATCCCGCGCTATAATGCGTTTGGAACCAAAGTACTGCACGCTGGTAAATCAGTTGTTCAAACTTATACAGAGTGTCCCAAAAATTTACTCACTGTTTGATAATAACTCTCTTGTAATGAAGTGTTTCGAGAAGCTTTAGGCACCATTTTGTAGAGCGAGGCGAACTTAGATTTACAATATTCAATGGAGTGAATCATCGATCGCTCTTCATTACTGTAGGATTACGGTAAGAACTTCCAGCATATGAAACCATTGTGATATATACCACCTAACAAAATTTTCTTTCAAAAAATCTGAAAAATCGTGACTAAAGTTTTCGCGCATGCTGATTCCACCTAACAACTTTCACGAGTGTTTTCAGCTTTTTTGACGGTGTAATTACATTTCTGACAAACACTGGGAATTAAGATTTTACGATTCAATGGGGATAACTTGGGAAATAAGCATCACAGCAAAATGGGAATTTCAAATTCGAAATTAGCGGCTCCCATTGCCATAATGTAAGAGTTTTTGACTTGTTTGGTGCTGTTCCAGGGCAGAAAACAGCCTTCTAAAATCCTTGTCGAAGTTCGTACCGTAATCTACAGTAATGAAGAGCGATCGATGATTCACTCCATCGAATATTGTAAATCTAAGTTTAACCTCGCTCTACAAAATGGTACCTGAAGCTTCTCGAAACACTTCATTACAAGGAAGTTATTTACAATCAAAGAGTGAGTACATTTTTTGGACACCCTATGTGTGCGACAAAAGTTGAACCTGGATTCTGCAATTTGTGACCCATTTTTGAGTTAGTATGTAAGTAAGCCTTCCGAGGTTAGTAGGTCTTTATTAGTGGCGGCCTAACGTTTCGAACAAGTCGTCTTCTTCAGAGGCCTCCTCCACCGTCGGCGCGCTGATGTTAGGGCGGCCGTCCTTCGATGCCACTAGTATCAACATTTATTTATTGATACTAGTGGCATCGAAGGACGGCCGCCCTAGCATCCGCGCGCCGACGGTGGAGGAGGCCTCCGAAGAAGACGACTTGTTCGAAACGTTGGGCCGCCACTAATAAAGACCTACTAACCTCGGAAGGCTTACTTACATACTAACTCAACATACTAACAATGCCGAGGTTCAAGAAAGAGGAAACTTGGAAATTACCCATTTTTGAGTTTTTAGAGGTTCATAGAGAAATCAATGTTTGTTTTCCATTATCTTGAGGGGTATATGCAGCTGCGCCAAAATAATTGGCGCCAAATTTTGCACCGCTGTCACGAAAAAGCTTTTCAGAAACATGAGCTCAAGTTTATGCTATATAGTGCTCCCCAGTTGAACTCTACTGAAGAGCTTTCCAAAAATCAAAAAGAGCTTTATTTGGGAATGTGGGAGTGAAGTATAAGACTGTTGCCTGTCAAAAAAAGCAAAGATGTAATCTCTATATCTTAAATTTGCCCTACAGCCAGCTAAATTCAAACCGTTTCTGATCTATTTTAAGCTGAGGTAGTAGAAAACACTTCTTTCTATCGTAGGGTCCGTTGCATTTGCAAAGCCTGCTTAAGAGTTACGAAATATGAAAATGTGTTTGCGAAAAAACCTGCGTACGAGTGACGAACATATGTTAAAAATCACCTTTTAGACCACATACACAATACGCTCTAGGTAAAAAAGCAATTCTCTATCTATGAGACATATAAAACACTATCTATCAAGATCGATTTGTTCTGTGAAACTAATTTAGAAAAATCCTGATTTTCAGGTGCACTCAGAAGAGCCAAAATACTACTGTTTTTTTGATACGCTGCCTCGCAGGCATTTTTTGAAAATTTACAGATTTTTTTCGTTTGACTTCTAAATTTCCATACTTCAAAATGCTAGAGGCGGAAGCTTGCTCTACTTCACGGCGTAATCTCAAAGCAAGATGAAATGTTTTTGATATCTATAAATTTATAGAGTTGCGCCTGCAACCAAAGTACACTGCAGCTGACTAGACAATTCGAGATTTTTTCGAGAGCTGAAGCAGCCAAATTCTAACTAGCTCATTACAATGTTTAGTGGCTGGTGAAAACAGATACACGCTTGATTCACCGTCAAGCACATCTTATACTCTTTTGACTGCATAAATACGCGCCATTAATTTTGGCGCACTCTGTAAGTTAACGATCCGCTCTTTCAATAAGATTATATGAAACTTATGCTTTGTCGCTTTTTGAGTATGAAAGAAAAGACATATACAAACATTATTTTTTACCGATGGTTTTCGAATGATGATCAACCACATTTCTGCAGTCATATGCTCCACTATTAACTACCCCAGGTTTATTCCGGTTATAGGCGCGTATGCCTTGGCCTGGTCTTTTTTCCACCTTTGCGACTGAAGACCAGCTGAGGTCCCGTAAGAACAGAAGAAACTTCTTCAAAATCCAATTTGGGTAGCGAAGTCGTTTCTATCACTTCAACTTTTCTTCAACTTTTAACAACTACCGCTCGTTAGTTAAGCCTTCTGCCAAAAGACTCATTCTCTTTACTACGCAAAATCACACAATAACCTAATGTTTTCAAATTCTCAGAAAATTTGAACATTTTTGTTTTTGAAGAATAGAGTTTCTTGTAAACGTTTTTCTGTCTTTTCTGACATTTAACCCCAGAACTTTCTATTCAGCAGTTCTTGGAAGGCCCAATGTTCGGTTTCAGGTTTTTTCTCTAAAAACAGTCATATATCAAGGATTCTTTGAAGCTGACACTACCCACCACTTTTTGACAAAACGTAGATGCTTCTTCATTTGAATAGCAGTTCAAGGATTAACAACTTATGATCCTCAGCATTTTCCTTACAGATGTGTAGTTCCGAATAAGATTGGCCAGCAAAGCCACTTCAATTGTAAGGGATGATTCTATTACTTTGAAATCAATGTAAGCAATTCGTTTCTTGCAGCAGCATGACCATAATCTGTCTAGTTTCTGTCTTGGAAACTGCAAGAGAAGAATGATTTGTTTTCCTATATTGAAAAATTGGAAAACATATTATTGTAGCCTGACTGTGAGCAAAATATTATTATTTATTGTTATCTGCTTTGAATTGTAGCTAAACTACAGCAAAACAAAACCCGCTTTCCAAACTCAATTTACTGTAGGAGTTTGACTTGCTGAAAACATACAATGTAATGCGAAGGTTCTGTCATCTCATTGGTGCACACTGTACAAATTCTGTCATTTCATCATTTTTTAATCGTCGAACTATGTGACATAATCTCTGTAAGTCCTTTGTCAGTGGCTGTCTGCAATGTTGTGAAGAAGTACTGAACTGTGGAGATGATACTAGACCTGCAAAGGACATGATTTTGCAAGGGGTGTGGACCACCGGTGGTCCACATTGTTGTCAACGGGTTAAAGGCAGTGACTCGGCAAAACTCAACAACTCAAAATTTTAACGCGGTAGACTCCTTATTGCCCAAGTATGAAAACAGTGGAATCCCGGTTGCACAGCATGCCTTCCTGCTAAAAAAATTGCTGTCAAACTTACACGCGCAGGCCATTCTTACACGCATCTAGACGAGTTGACAATTTTCTTCTCACCATTGGAGGCTGCCCGCCGCCATGCT